GTATTTTTGTTGTCCAATGCTATTTTTTGGTTTCAGTAGTTCTATTTTTCTCTGAAACTTGTTTGAATATCAATAATAAAATTTTCAATTTCTTGCCTTTAACAAAACATTATTTTTTAATCTTCTTCATGATCTTCCTCATTAACTTCAATTAGTATTTTATTTATTAGGGTTGGATTAGAACATTATTCTTTTATAATTTAATTATGCTACATTAATAGGTCCACCCTCTCCCCTTTCTCAACACATAATTACTACCCAGGAAGTAACATTAAAGTGCTTTGTTACATAACAATGTAAAGTTGGATCTATTGACATATTCCTTAAATTTAGCGTCAATTTTACTTTCAGAAATTCCGGCGTACACCTCACAAAACAGATTAAAGTCAAAGACCGTGACTCAGTTCTCGTAAAACAAATTTCATTGTTAACAATGAAATTCGTTTCGGTGCCTTTTATTATGTCGCCTACCCTTCAAAACACGTTAAAATAGCGTATTCACTTAAAACCGTCTACGTGTCCAAGATAAAACTGAAGGACGTAAAAAGTACCCTTATTAGGTTGTTTTGTTTTATAAAAAGATATTTAATTACATTGGCAAATCATGCTGGTTGTAGTGTGACGGAGTATTATGAAGAAGACATAATTTATAATTATAGGGTAATATTTTTCTGCTTTTGATACGGGATGTAGCAACACAGTGTTGTACATATTTATATTTGCATAATGGGAATTTTTACAAATTGTCACTTGTTTTTTATCTCTCCCTTAAATTAAAATTAAATTTTAATCTAAATAGGATGTTAAGAATACTGCTCTATATTGTATCAAAACTGATTCTTTTTTGGATTGGTTTAGTTTTAGTTTTTTATCTCGATTCGTTTTTACATAATGGGCATTTTTACAAATTCTCACTTGTTTTTTGTCTCTCCTTTAAATTAAAATTATATTTCATTCTAAATCTTAATTGTTTAAAATTTGATTCTCTTTTCGATAGGTTCAGTTTCAATTTATTTGTATTCGTTTTTACATAATTAGCATTTTCCCAAATTTTCACTTGTTTTTTATGTTTCTTCCTTAAATTAAAATTACATTTCATTTTAATCGATATTACGAACTCTATATTGTATAACATTTGATTCTATTTTCGATAGGTCTAGTTTCAATTTTTTATCTTTTTCGTTTTTACATATTGGACATTTTTCCTGATTTTTCCTGGATTTTATGCCTTTGCCTTAAATTAAAATTACATTATATTCTAAATCGATGCCAATATTGTATAAAATGTTACCAAATTTTTTTCCCGGGAGTTGAGTTTCTCTCGAGTAATTTTTGGCATGTTTTACTCTTGAGTAAATTTTCCTCAAGAGGTAGTTTTTTCAAGAGGTAGTTTCTCTCGAGTCTTTTTCCTTGAGGGTTAGGTTTCCTCGAGTCTTTTTTCCTCAAGAGGTGAATTTCTCTCGAGTTTTTCCTCGAAAAGTGGTTTTTTCTAGTCTTTTTTCTTGAGGGTTCGGTCTTGAGTCTTTTTTTTTCTCGAGAGGTGTTTTTTCCTCGAGTCTCTTTCTCGAAAGTTGGGTTTCTATCCAGTCTTTTTTTCTTGAAACTATCTAGTCTTTTTCCTTGAGAGATTTCTCTCTAGTATTTTTTCCTCGAGATGTAGTTTTCTATCGACTTGGGTTTCTATCTAGTCTTTTTTTCTTGAGAGTTTGCTTTCTCGAGTCTTTTTTTCTTGAGAGTTTGCTTTCTCGAGTCTTTTTTCCTCGATAGTTGGACGTCTCTCTAGTATTTTATTCTCAAGACGTGCATTTCTCTCGAGTTTTTTTTCACGAGAGCTGGTTATCTCTCGAGTCTTTCCTTGAGGGTTGAGTTTCCTCGAGTCTTTTTTCCTCGAGAGGTGGTTTTCTCTCGAGTCTCTTCCTCGAGAGTTGGGTTTCTATCTAGCCTTTTTTCCTTGAAAGTTTGATTTTCGAGTCTTTTTCTTCGGAGAGTTGGGCATCTCTCTAGTTTTATATCCTCAAGACGTGCATTTCTCTCGAGTTTTTTCCTCGAGAGGTGGTTTTCTCTCAAGTATTTTTTCCACAAGAGTTGGTTTTCTCTCGAGTCTTTTTCCTTGAGGGTTGGGTTTCCTTAAGTCTTTTTTCCTCGAGAGGTGGTTTTCTCCCGAGTCTCTTCCTCGGGAGTTGGGTTTCTATCTAGTCTTTTTTCCTTAAATGTTTGATTTCTCGAGTCTTTTTTCCTCAAGAGGTGAATTTCTCTCGAGTTTTTTCGTCGAAAAGTGGTTTTCTCTAGAGTCTTTTTCCTTGAGGGTTCGGTCTTGTCTTTTTTCTCGAGAGATGGTTTTTTCTCGAGTCTCTTCCTCGAAAGTTGGGTTTCTATCTAGTCTTTTTTTTGAAACTATCTAGTCTTTTTCCTTGAGAGATTGAGTTCTCAATTCATTTTTCCTCTAGGGTTAGGCGTCTCTCGAGTCTTTTTTCCTCAAGAGGTGGATTCCTCTCGAGTATTTTTCCCCGAGATGTAGTTTTCTCTCGAATTGGGTTTTTATCTAGTCTTTTTTCCTTGAGAGTTTGGTTTCTCGAGTCTTTTTTCCTCGAGATTTGGGCGTCTCTTTACTTTTTTATCCTCAAGACGTGCATTTCTCTCGAGTTTTTTTCCTCGAGAGTTGGGTTTCTATCTAGTCTTTTTTCCTTAAGAGTTTGGTTTCCCGAGTCTTGTCCTCGAGAGTTGGGCGTCTCTCGAATCTTTTTTCCTCAAGAGATGGATTTTGCTCGAGCTTTTTCATAGAGAGGTGGTTTTCTCTCGAATCTTTTTCCTTGAGGATTGGGTTTCCTCGAGAGGTGGTTTTCTCTCGAGTCTCTTCCTCGAGAGTTGGGTTTTTATCTAGTCTTTTTTCCTTGAGAGTTTGATTTCTCTCGAGTTTTTTCTCGAGAGGTGGTTTTCTCTCAAGTCTCTTCCTCGAAAGTTGGGTTTATATCTAGTCTTTTTTTCTTAAGACTATCTAGTCTTTTTTCCTTGAGAGGTTGGGTCTCGAGTCATTTTTCTTCGAGTGTTGGGCGTCTCTCACGTCTTTTTTTCGGATTAGTGTTGTTTATTGCATCAGAGACTTTTTTTGTAGAAGTGAGTCTCACGACAACAATATTTTCTGTAATTATATCAATCCGGTCTAATGTTCTTTTTCATCATTTGGCTGAGATATCATATATTTGGCCTTTTGGAAAATGTACGTTGCCCAGGTTCTGTCTGCATTTCTAATTCATGGGTTTTGGAGTATGGCTCGTTTTACTTTTTTTTGTAGCCTTCCAAAGTGAATATTCTATGCTTTTGTTATAAGTTGGTTCACTCACTAATTGATTTTTGTTTGTATCGTTTTAATGGCTGATTTGAACTGGGTAACGCTCTTTTATCTGGTTTGTTGCCATTTCCTTTTTAATTAATTTTTTCTCTAATTTTTTTTTTGTAATAATTGTTTCCTTTTACTTTCTAATTGATTTCTGGTGTATTTTTTAAGTTGAATATTTTTAACTAATAATTTAACCTCGTTATCTAGCTGTTCTTCAGTTCTTAGTGGTACCGAAAGATTATTTTTTTTTGTCAAGTTTTATTTTAAATCTGTTTGTTTATTGCCTAATCTAGGAGGAGTTTCATTTTGAATTAAATAATTACTCAATGTAAGAAGTATAGGGGAATGATCTGAGTTCATATCCCAAGCTTCTTCTATGAGCATGTAGTTTATTGGCATATTTACGACTATAAAGAAGTCTATAAGATATCTTTGCTTTGATAATTATTACCGGCTCGAAGTACTGTGTAGATAGTAAGATATCTATAAAAATATTGTATACAGTATACATGATATTTTAAATTATTTCTATCTAAAAAAAAACTTAAGTAATGCGAAATTTGTTGCATCTTGATGTAATTTTACCATACTGTTAAATCACATAAATACCTTATAACCCTAATAAATCAATCTTAAAAATATCGCAATGTATTATATAATAATAAAAAGTTCAAATTACTCCAACAGGATAATTTTAAATTAGTGACGCTGAGGATAAAGTAAAACTTATGAAATGAGCATCAACTCAACATAAATTTACCTTGAAAATCAAATTTTAAAAAGTATAAACTCTGACAACAATAAAAATATGAGACGAATTATTTCATATGAAAGAAAAAAAAATTGCCGCACTTCTCGATATAGTTAAAGTTTTACTTCTATAGCTGAATTTTTAAATAAACGAATTCTTAAGATTGACAAGTGCTTATTAGTTAAGAAACGAGAAATGAGAAGACAAGAGTAACTTCTCTTGAATCTGAAGGAGTAGAAGTTTGAGGGAAGAATGATACAGAAATACATATTTTGTATATTTGAGATAAAGACAATTTTTTTTTATTTGTCTACTCTTTCGAATTCAAGAATAGGTCCCATTTACCGGATATGCGGAGCTGTTAACTCCGATAAACTAGTAATCCCACAATAACAAATAATGATAAACAGTTTTAGAAACATCCTAAAATACGGAAAACTAAGTGGGAATTGAATTATATCAACTTATTAGTAGATCGTAGGATGAACATACTCCTGTGGACCCTGTGGTCTAGCAGCCGAGAGCAGATTTTTTAATTTTTCGGTTCTTGACGTTCAGGAATTTATTCATGAATTTCATACTTCAATTGTCGGTTAATTTTAACAATGTCTATATTAAATTTGACATACATTCAAATACGTTTATTTATGTATTTTTTTGGTAATATATCAATTCGTATTCTGTATTCTTTGAATGATAAGTTTATTTTACTGTTCCTCATTTTCAGTAACATTGTCTCATCTGATTATCATTACATATTCCATGTTAACTATTAAGGGCGCATTTATGTATCCCACAGCACGCTAAACAACCATTTCCGCAAATTTCCAAACAAATAAGCTAGTTTAGTAATTTAACGTTTTCGAACCTTACATTTTACATTGTTTAGCCGTTTTCCTTAATGAGATTTAGACATACACTGGCACCATTCTAGTTGCAGTTAATCCCTACAAGGACATTGACATTTACTCCCAGGTAAGTCGAAAATAATATTTATTGCGGTATATTATTGTTTTGAAAATTGAGTTTTTTATATACCGTAGAATTATGTCCAAGCGGGTTTACATTTTGTATAATAAAATGTATTACTAGTTGATAATATGTATTTTTTATATGGATATAAATTTTTATTTGATCGCAAAATAGTATATTAACCTTTATTTTAGAAGGCTATGGTTTTAAACAATTATGTTGGTTTTATTAATAAAAAGCACCTACTCTATAGTATAAACTAAAAAAAATCAATTCAAAACAATTTTTATAATTATCATCAAGTACCTACGTTTTGATATAAACGGTTAAAACTATATTGTTTTACTAGTGACGAAAAATAATTTTAGACCAGTAGAACACTATACTTTATCTACGAAAATTCCATTATGCAATGTACTAAAAAAATAAAAAATGCCTTATTTTGAATTATAAGCAAAAAACCTTAACTATTAGTTTAATATGTAAAATAAAACAGGAGAAAGTAAAGTATTTTTAAATTCTTGATAAAATTAGTAGTAAAAATGACACATGATTGTCATTTTTGATGGTTATGTCACCAGTTGTCAGTAGAAAAGTTACCAATAAAAATACCAGTTTTTTCTTCACATTATTATGTCCAAAAAGGCCCAAAAACTAGTAGAAGTTCACTTTAGTAATTTTACCAAACTAAACGAATAGTTTAATAATGAATTTGTGTAATACGTATGCGTTGCTTTAGTTTATATCATAACTAATACAAAATTCTAAACTTAACACGTTGAAAATGGCGTCCAGTTCAATTCCTAAAGTTTAAATTGAATCACTCATTATTTCTCAAAACTATGTCAACGCTTTAGCTAAATTTATTAAAGTTATATTAGAATTGGATAGCCAATTTCAATTTTTTTATTAAACTGATTATTTTAGTACATACATATACAGGGTGGCCCATCAATAACGTACCGCAAGGCATTACAGGGTGGAAAAAACTTTTCGGCGAATTTCAAAAACACGTCATGTTTGTTTGTCAAGGGGACACCTTTTGACGCAAAAAACATAGTAAAATCTTCAACCCCCACAGCAACAAATGTTTTAGTGTTTCGAGTTAATGAAGTGTTTTATTTTAAATCTGGGAATAAATAACGTAATTTCAAAAATACGGCAAGGTTTCAAGTTGAATTAAATCGCTTTTTGCATTTTTCGTCACACATTATTGTTTAACTTTCAAAGCTTCATAATTTTCTAAACGAGTGGCTCTATTTTCAAAAACTCATCAGCTTTGAATAGGGAATAACAAGACCCTTTTAATGAGGTATTACTTGATCCCCCTTCCCCTTTGTAACAATTTGGTGGATGACACCTCTACTGAGGGGGTTGAAGGTTTTACTATGCTTTTTGGTTCAAAATGTGACCGCTAATTTGAAATAAAGGCGTATATGTTAGTTCCATGTGCTTGTTGATAGAATAGTTGATTTCTTCGGGAATTAACTCTAGGGACGTGAAAGTGTAACATTTCCAAACATGAAATACAATCCACCTTGTTATTTAATAACTTGAACAAAAATATCACCGAGGGTATTGCTCTACTTTTTAAAAGACTACATGTATTGAAACGGTTTAAATAATAACTTTGAGGAAGTTCTCTTATGGGATAGGTACCATCACTTAAAAGACAAGCTGATTTAAAAAATCTTCGTTGAACTCTTTCCAAATGGTTAATGTGATTGGAGTATATCGGACTCCAAACGATACTGGTATATTCTAATTTTGACAAAATCAGCGAAGAGAAAAGTATTTTCATCGTTGAAAAGTCATTGAATAATCTCTTATTCCTTATAACAAAGCAGAAGCAGTTGTTTTTTCAATGTGCGATGTAAACGTTAATTTTGGATCAAAGAAAACTCCAAGATCTTTAATCAGTTCTGGTCAATTTAATGTAGAATTTCGTAGGTCATAATTATGTAGTATTGGTGCTTCCTTTCTAGTAAATGTCATTACATTACATTTTTTAACATTTAACGGCAACTTTCGTTTAAGCAGTTAAGATTCTCTTGAAGCAATAGACAATCATTATAACTAGAGATTTGTGATGCTCAAATTACAAACAATATCATTAATAAAAAGCAGAAATAATAAAGGCCCTAAAAACCGAGCCTTTCGGGGCGCCGGATGTTTGTTTGAAATTCATTGATTTATGACCTAAGCACTGAACATAAAGGTAACGATCTGATAAATATGACTGAAAAACATTTAATAAGGAGCCATGAAATCCAAGTGCTGAAAGTTTACTTATTAGAAGTTTGTGATCAATTCTATCGAATGCTTTAGAGAAGTCAGTGTAAATAACATCAACCTGACTTCTTCTATCCAAAACTTCAGAAATAAAACCATGTTGGGTTGGACTAATGATTTGGCGAAACTGAAATGAAAGGAAAGTATGCACAAGTATTTCAAAAACTTGAGAGAAATTGTTCAGAATTGTGACAGGGCGATAGTTGGATATATCATTTTTGCTGCCATTTTTAAAGATTGGACTTACTATAGCTAACTTCTACATCTCAGAATATTGTTGAGTTTTAAAAATAAGGTTGAAAATAATAGTAAGTGGTTTGCAAAATACCACAGTCTCTCACCAGAAATGCCGGAACATTATCCGATCCACTTGTTGACATAGGTTAGTACTTCAGCTTCCGTTACTTGGGTAATGTTAACTATATTGTTATAATTTTGGTATTCTAAAGAATCTTTAACAGTATTATCAATGGGTGTATAATTTTCTGAAAAAATATTGCAAACGAATCCGCAATATCTTTAGGTTGATTTAAATGCTTGTTTTCGAAATTCATAGTGTTGGGTATCGTTGACAGATCACCCTTTCTGAAATTTATAAATGACCAAAAAAGTTTTAGGATCAGCGTAGAACATTTCACATAATTACAGTAAGCTAACTTAGTTTTAATTTTAATTTCAATTCTCAGTTGACTGTGAATAATATAATCTGAATTATATTTACTAATCTTAAATTATCTACAAAATATATCAGTATATACATCATTTTCCTATATTTGTGACAAGTTTTTATATACGGGACAATAAAGTTGCAAAAATATAGTGTGATTTATTTGTGATTCACCCTGTAACAGTAAATATTTTGAACTGTCTCTTTTCATGGACATCTGACCAAAACTTATAATAAACTTTAACGCCCTGTATCTCGAAAACTAGTTATAATATCAGATTTAACATTTACATCTCATAAAAAGGTGGTAAAAGCATTAGGTTCTTTCGTTCGTCCCAATCAGTGTTGCCAGAATATATTTTTATAATGTACCAGATTTGTCTAAAAAATGTACCAGATTTCATAAAAATGTACTAGATTCTATAAAATTACCAGATTTTCTAATTGTGAAGGGTGGTCATTAAAGAGCAAAAAAAAAGGTTTATAGACAATACGAACACAACAATTTTAAACAATATTTTATCTCTCGACAAATTTCTGACACCATTTTATCTCTCGACATATTTCTGACACAATTTTATCTCTCGAGCAATTTTTTAAAAAGATTTTAATAACTTATGATACTATTTTATCTCTCGAACAGTTTATAAACCTTTTTTATCTCTTGAGCTATTTTTAAACAATATTTTATCTCTCGATAAATTTCTAACAATATTTTATCTCTCGAGCAATTTTTAACAGCCTTTTTTACCTCTCTTTTTTGAACAATATTTGATCTCGTGCAATTTTTGAGCAAAATTTTAACAATTTCTAACACTATTTTATCTCTCGAGCCATTTTTATTAACATTTTTTATCTTTCTAACAATTATTAAACAATGTTTTATCTCTCGAGAAATGTTTAACAGTATTTTTTAATTATAGAGTATTTTTTTAACAAAAGTTTAACAATTTACGATACTATTTTATCTCTCTAACAATTTTTAAACCTTTTTTTATCTCTTGAGCTATTTTTAAACAATATTTTATCTTTAGATAAATTTCTAACATTATTCTATCTCTCGAGGAATGTTTAACGACTTTTTTATCTCTTTAGCAAACTGCACAATATTTTAACTCTCAACAAAGTTATAACAATATTTTAACGCTCGATAAATTTTTAACAATGTTTTATCTCTCGAGCAATGTTTGTACAATATTTTATCTCTCGAGCAATTTCTAATAGTATTTTATAGTTCGAGGAATTTTTAAAGAAAGGTCAAATTCTAATACTATTTTGTCCTTCGACCAATTTTTAACACCCTTTTTTACCTCTCAAGCTATTTTTAAACAATATTTGATCTCTAGTGCAATTTTTGAACAATGTTTTATCTCTCGAGAAATGTCTACTATTTTATATCTGAACCAATTTTTAACAACTATTTTAATTTCTTTGTTAGTTTTTGAACAATATATTTTACACTTCAAATGGAACATAGGCTGAAAAAAGTACTAGATTTTGCTTCGAGTGTACTAGAGTACCAGATTCTCAGAGAATGTTCTAGATCTAGTACAATTGTACTAGACTGGCAGCACTGGTCCCAATGGTGTAGGAATGAACTACACCAGCGTACACTAAACCTTTCGTTTGGTCCGGTGTAAAATTACTATACCTTCCTGTCGGCGATGTGGTGTCCACTGGTGGATATTCTCTCCACCAGCTATTTATCAGGATTTTCGATTTTCGATTTTCGATTTTTCAATTTTTCAATTTTTCAATTTTTCAATTTTTCAATTTTTCAATTTTTCAATTTTTCAATTTTTCAATTTTTCAATTTTTCAATTTTTCAATTTTTCAATTTTTCAATTTTTCAATTTTTCAATTTTTCAATTTTTCAATTTTTCAATTTTTCAATTTTTCAATTTTTCAATTTTTCAATTTTTCAATTTTTCAATTTTTCAATTTTTCAATTTTTCAATTTTTCAATTTTTCAATTTTTCAATTTTTCAATTTTTCAATTTTTCAATTTTTCAATTTTTCGATTTTTCGATTTTTCGATTTTTCG